ACACACACACACACATATATACAGTATATATATATATATATATATATATATATTTCTGATGAGCGCTGTCCATTCATACAATCGTGTTCATAACATGCGAGAGTAATACGCTTATTTGATCATGTCTTTAAAATGTAGCGAAGAGCTCCAGATCAGGGAGAAGTTTTCCATGCATATTTAAAGTGTTGTTTCTGGTGTTTTGCATGAGTATTCCCAGCTCTCTAACATGATCTGAACCGCTACTGATGTTGTGGAGATGTTTGCTGCCCTGTGTTTTTCGGTTTAACTCATTCTGTTTGTGTGTTCTTCTCCCAAGACTCGCTGAGTCTCGCACTAACCCCCAGATGCTGGACATTGGGGTAAACCCTCAGGACTACAACCCTGAAGAGTGCTTGTCGCCTAGCAACTGGGACAAAGCCGATGCTGAGGCTGCAGACGCCGAGGCCGCGTTCGGATTCTGATCGACGGTTCGCGGGAGGAACGAGCTGATGAAACGACACAAAGGGAATCGAGCTCGTCTGACCGGCGCCTTCTGGCGGCTTTGAGTTGACATGCGGTTCGGCAAACCCTACGGATGACTTCAACAAAAGCACAGACCAAAGCAATACAGAATATAGTTTTTCTTTTCTTTTTTCCGAATTACTTTTAAGTATATTGACATTTAAAATGTTCTGTTACTTCCCGTAAGTTGCTTTACTTTCTTTTTTTTGTACTTGTATAAATATAAAATATATGTGTATGACTGATTTTAGCAAATGGCTGCAATATAACAAAGAGTGAAAAATTTCTTTTTTTTGTACTTGTATAAATATAAAATATATGTGTATGACAATAACTGTATAATATTTGCTCATTATTATTTTTTAAATGGATTTGATTGCTGAGGCTAGCTTTGCGATTCTATGCAGGGGTAATGCATACTAAATTTCCTGATGTTTCAGGTTTGTGTGGAGTTGGATTGTGTTTTTTAAGTGGTGATGGGTTTGTATACATGAGTTGTCTGCCCTCAGATGTGTGAAAATAAATGGCAAACATTACAGCATACAATAATGGACAAAAAAAAGAGAGAGAGAAGGCAGGCTATTTAAATGAGACAATCTTATTTTTTTCTATTAAAATGTATTTTTGCACTCCTCTCTGCATCTCAGAGCTCATGGTTTCATTTCAGGATCTTTCTGTTTATGCCATGCTTCTAGTTCATTCGTCATCAGGCTATACCCATCCAATAAAGCACTGTGGAAGTTACGGTATTATAATTACTTAAAAGAAAACTGTGGTATTACTATCATGGTAGTGTCTAAAAAAGCAAAAACATTGTATTACCATGGATGTCTATGGTATGTTTTATGGAAATACAGATCTATTTTGTGTAACATGTATCCCTTTGCCCTAAAATATACCTGAATTAATTTCAGGTTGAATTTAAGTGCAGCAATACATTATTTGTCTGCTTTACTTTTGTTGAAAGATGATCATCATAAACAAGCAATGAGCTGATATTTAACACTGTGGATTTGACTGAAAAAAATGCGGGCAGTTCTTTTGTGGTTTACATTGACGCCCTGTTTTTAGGTTTTTTTAGACTTCCTAAGTAAAATTTATAGTAAGTCAGTGTTAGTTTCTGTTTGCATTATTTCATGTTCATAAATTAAAACTAATGAAAATGCTGTGTTGATTACTGTTTTGAGTTGACATTTCCTCCATCTAGTGGTGAAACTAATGTAGCGCAGTTATTATTTTGAACATTTTTGTCAGGAAATTACGATTTATTCTGTGGGAAACAATCCAAATATTATTTTTCATATTTTGATTTTCTTTTTGTGGTTTCATTTCAGTGGCTATGCAAGTCATTATTCAGGTGTTAATGAATAGGCGGCGCTGTCAAGTAGTTTTCACGAATCATTTATTAATATTCATAAGACGTGCCATGTAACAGTAACGTGATGCCTGTTATTTTTCAGTAACAGGTTACCTTTTCAGTACTTTTCAGTTTTTCAACGCTGGTCAGAATAGACCATAGACTGTATACAAACAGTAGTTTTATGTTGCTGGAGAGGGTATAGTTTGTATCTTTTTGAAGTCACGTAAACTAATTTTATATTCTTTAAAACTGTAGTCGTTGTTGTCTCTGCACATGGGATATCCCGCATTTTAACTTAAAAAAAAAGACACAAAACACATTTGCCACTGACGATTCAAACGCGAGTTTTGAGCAGTGTAGAGTAGGGCTTGTTGTTTGTCATTTCTCCGATTACAAATGCAGACATGTTTTTATGTTTACACAGCGCGATGCAACGCAACGCGTAAAAAGACAGTATAAGCCATTATAATTCGTAATTATGTCCCCACTGGTTGCAACAAATGCCTCGTTTATAATGAGTTTTA